TCCCTAGTGAAAAATCAGATTTGGTGGTAAAATCCATGTTTTCCTGCATAAGTCGTTTATTTTGTAAATAAGATGTTATCTGTCAGAATACAGTTCTCCCCCCTCCCCCCAAAAAATCTCATTAGCTGTATCATTCAGAAACCTAAGTGATTGCAACTTGCTAAATATACACTAGACCAGCAGTCTCCATATGCATTTATTTAAAAACAGATTAAAAAATGCCGTCACTTGGGTAAACTAATAAAGCAATCTCTGTTTGTCAACAGAAGTGTTTAGTAACAGTTCTGCTGAAAGGTGAATAAGCCTCAATTCTTTCTTTTAAAAGGGCTGGAGGACAGATGTAGATTATTCAGTTCCACTGCAGATCTGTGATATCCACTGTGGTAAGTGTGAATGATAACAAAAGAAGAATTAGGTCTTGACTGTATAGAAGAGAACATCTCAGGTGAAGTGTGTTTTCATTGGGAAACTGAGGTGGGATTCACCTGACTGAATGTAGATGTTTGCATGTGAGCTAGATACACTCAGCTTCCTTTATAGACAATGGACTCATATATCTCAACTAGCTTTTAATTAGCCACTGCAAGGGAAACTTGTGTGGCTGGCTGTTTTCTCTGCTTCCTGGGTGAGTTTTCCATCCTGTGCCAAGTTCTGCATGCCACACCTATATTTACCTTGCTGTTGGTACATGAGGTAACTAGTTAAAAACAATCCTTGGCAAGTAGTCACATAGTGCTGTCATTGTAGTGATTGCAGCACAGCCGTACTGTTAATTCGCCACCTCTGCAAATGGGACAGTAGTACTGCTCTTCACTGCAGAAGTACGGTGAGGATATTATTATGATTTGAAGTACACTCAGGTATGCTCATGGAGTCAGAATATTCTGAAATCTCCAAGCCGTGAAAGTAAGGCATGGTAGAAGTTAGTGAGTTCAGAGTGATCTAAGGCTGTGGGGTTTATGGTGAAGAGCAGAGGAGTGGATTGACTAGTTTAGAACTAAAAAGTCTAAAATGAATCAAGCTGAGAGAAGGCTCAATCTGAGCATTGCCAAAACCACCTCCCCAAACCCACCAAAACAACCAACCTCCCCTCCCCAGTTCATTATAAACGTAGTGATTCCTATGACAGATTTTCTCTGTTGTCTAAAAATACCTGTCAGTTAACTATAGCTTCAGATTTGGAAGCCTGATACTAAAAAGGAGGGGGCTCGAATTTGTAGTCTAAATATAGTTCTCTGTGGAAGCACTTGCATAATGCTAGTTCAGGTTTTTTCTCTTAAAAACTCATAACAAGCCCACTCAAGGTGAAGCAATTAAATAATCAGAGTGTTGTGATTCATGTAGTCTGGATGCATTTTTCCTTATTCATATTTTCCCTTTAATGAATGTGAAGGGTATGACAAAAGCATGTAAAATAATGAAAGGCTCCAGAGATGGCAGTCTGGGAATTCCCCTCTAGCTTATAGTAGGAGAGGATGGGTCTGCATATGAAATGAAAATGATGGAACACCGAAAACTGACGGAAGAACTTTTTGGGCAGAGTATTTGATTTAAATGTGGAACTTTTTGTCACAAATTTTTGTTCTGATCAAGAATTTGTGGAGATTCAGAAAAAAAATGTGAGAAACTGTCCATATCAGGAATATCAGAACTGTAATACATGATCGTTATGTTTGTTGTATAGAGGATATTAACCTCATGCTTCATGGAGTCTGCCATACTTGTTATTTTTGGGTTAATGTTGTCCACATTAACGGGTGGATAATTCCATCTCTGTCAGCTGACCAGGAGAGGGTTCCTGAAACCTCCCTCTGTGGCAGATGGTACAAGTCAGTGTCAGAGATGGGACATTGAACTAGGTGGGTCTGATTCATTGCTGTCCTTCCTGTGTTCTTAATGACTTGTCAGGAGCCATCAACTGTTTGTCATGTGTAAGATTTTAATGTAACAGTAATAACATTACTACTAAGGACTTTCATATTCTTAAATGCTTATTTTCTATAACAAAGATATTTTCTCAAGCACTAGGTTTTTAAAATCAGGAGATGATGAAAGTTTCTTAAAGACGATGCCACTGAGGGTGATAATTCTTACACTGGAATGCTATTGTGTTTGAACCTAAGATGTTGAGAAAAATAATCCACCTAAAGGTGAAGGGAATATTAAACCCAATATTTGTCCATAATTTGTGACAATTTGAATTACACAAAATGTCAAAGTAAATGAGGAATAATCTTATAATGGCATAGTGAAAACAGTGAAAATATCTACTGCATACATCTTTGTAAAATAGAAATTTACATTGGTATGTTAAAGCGACCAAGCAGTATCAGTGTGTCCAAAAGAGCCATGATGTTATTAACATGTATTTTGTTACTCAAAACCAAGATTCCAGTGATGACAGTATCTGTTATAAAAAAATTACTGTAGCTAACCATTGTGAAGGCTATTTTCTTTCCAGCTGCAAGAAGTTTTTCTGGTTTGTAGAACGCATTGTACTGCAATGCATTGCATTTTTCTATCAGTAGCTGTGCTTTAGAATTAGAATGGCTTAGCCTTATTTGCTCTACAGAGGATGGAAATGGGAAAATATTTTTTTTTCTTTCATTTAATTAGCATTGACTTAGAGGCAAAACTTTGTGTTCTTTTTAAATTTTATTTTCCCTTCAGCCACTTTTCTGGATTCTATTTAATGTAGCCAAACAATTTGAGACATTATTTCACCTATTAAAAAAGAAACTTATCTAACTTATCTATTCTGAATGAAACAATAACCCAAATCAGTTAATGTGAGAATAAGTATGTGAATCATAATGAAAACAAAATGGCAACCTACATTTGAACTTGTTTCTTCAGGTTTTCATGGTCAGACATATGGTGATGGAAACGCAGCAAAGGCCTTGACACACAGGTATCCATCCAATGTATAGTTTAAAACATCTTTGAGAGTTGATAGAGTTGTTAATCCTGAAAATGTATCATTCGCTTCCCTAAAGAACAGAAGCAATGTCTTAGTGAATTTTGTCAGGAATATCAGGTTCCTATCTCTCCCCTTTCCTTGTCCCCACTGAAGACATCTCTTGCTCCTCTGCTGTCTCTCCTCTTGCTCATCTCTATTGCACCACAGTGCAGTCTGGCATCAGAGGTAGCTGCCTTGCTGCTGAACAAAGAGGACAAAGGCAGAATAATAACCAGTGGAACTGAGAAGTTTGTAAGGTAACAAGACAACCTTCAAGAGCCCTGGAACAATCTCAGATTTGCTGAGCATGACATTCAAGTTACTAGCACCTGTGCCCTGCTTTCTCCCTGACGTTTGCAGGCAGATCAGTCCCCTCTGTGCTGTCACTCATTAGACATGTCTGCTCAGCTGTTCCAGTACTTTTCATTCCCACAGCCCTTTGCAAAACACCTATTGCTAGGTTGTAAACAACTCAGTAATTAATGCAGCCCATGAATGTATGATTTGGTAGACCCTGAGCTCTTGAAAACTCTTTTCCTTTAAGGATGCCCTTTCAGAGGCAACCTAGAATAGTGGGAGCAACTTAGAACTCCAGAGAGAGTAGAGATGCTCTGAAAAGCCCTTGTTCAAAGATGGGAAAAAGATGCAGCCTTGCAGAAGTTATGCAAGTCATGTGGTTGAGAAAGGGGCTACCATCTTTGCTTTGAGGCAATCTTTGGCTTTTCCCTTGTCAGCAGATACCATTCAGAATAAAGTATCTTGGTTTTGTTCATTTGTTCACATGAGTGCTGTTTGGACTGTGACAGTCAAGTCCACAAGCTGTAGACAAGTGGTTAGATTTGTTGTTTAACTCCAACTATATATGAATGCAATGAACTGTCTCACACTTCAGAGAAAAAAAGCCCATCTTCTTTCTTCTGTTTTTCCCCTAGAATGAAGAGTGTGCATTCCTTGCATTGAATTTAACAACGCATTTTCAAGGTCCTTAGTATCTTCTCAACATCAAGTTGTATTTTGGTGTAACTTGCAAATCTTGTGTAACTTGTCATCTCTCATGTAAGTAGTTTCTGCTAATTACTGTGAGATTATTCTCATGAGTGAAGAATTTAGCAAGTTAAGCCTATTCCAACATGTCCAAAGGAAGCTGGATTATGATCCCTCATTTCTCAGTATTTCAAACAAAAAATGTCTTAGATCACTTAGAGAATCAGGTTCACATTTTCCTTCTAAATTAGTATTTTATATACAGTATGCTATAAATGAGTACTTTCATAGTACCTTGTGTACCTATAGAACAAATATTTAATATTTTCTTATTTGTAACCTTCGTTTTTAAACCATAAGCACAAGTTTTTGAGAAATGAAGAATGGAGGAAGTTTTCTCAGCTTTGTTATATTATCCTTTGAAATTTCTTTTGTTTTCTAATGCCATTCTGATGATCTCACCATGACAGACCATATTCCTTAAATATATCTAACAACTGCTTTCTGTTTTTTGCATTTGTATTTGACTTTGAGTTAACTTTCCTGTTTGTCTGAGGAGGTACATGTCTTTGGTTTGATAGCTATTTAAAACTATGATGTGGAAATCCAGCCTAGAAGAAAACAGTTTAGTGGAAAGAATTGAAGTATTTTTTTTTCCATTCTATCAGTATTTATACTCAATTGTTGAGAATAATATTACACACTGTACTGATTATCAAACATTTGGCTTTTATTTCACTGAATACTCCTGTCAAGCATCCTTACTTCCTGTTGTGTAACAAGGAAATAAAGTCAACTAAAAGATGATTAATAGCAAATCCTGAAACCATGTGGAATTGCTTGTGTGGGATCAGGAATATGGGTGGTGAGTGAGGGTCTGGAACAAGAAGTTGATCAATAAAAAATATTTTCCATCTAAATGTGTGTTTTTTTCTTTCAAGACTTTCAAAGAGCAATTTACAGGAGACAAGTGGTGTAAGAGACATACCTACTGTCTTGAATCACAAGGTTGTTGAGGTGCTTTGAAGAAGACAAATTCTGCTTGGCTCCTTTGATATCAAAGCTTCATTGTGTAGACTGCACATCTATTAGATATGCTCTTATTCCAAGCAGTGCCACAGCTCCAAAAGCAGAGGTGGTAAGGCAGCTTTCCTAAAGCATTTTGTTACTTGCTTTGGCTGTGAAATCGAAGCCCTGATCTATTCAGACATCTGCTTTTCCTTTAATACCCTCCAGACTGCAGCCACAAACAGCCATTCAACTGAGAGAGCATCATAACATTACTCTCTTCACTTTCCTCCAGTGGAAAAGACTTTTCTGTAGGAAAGGCTGATTTTTACAATGTGCTTTTTATTGCAGTGAAGTCTTAAGATCAACTGTTTGAATATGTCCTTAGACTGCGAATGAATTAAAATTCTACAGGTGTTGCAGGGTCTGAAAACGTATGTATAGCTAAGACAAAACACCACCTCCAATGACAAACTCGTATGAGGTCCTGAAGCAACAGTTGCTGTTCTGAAGCTGGATGCTTTCAATGATAAGATCCTGTTTCAGCTGCACAGACACTAAATCTCTTGCAGTATATCTTCTCTTGTTGGCTGCAGCGATGGAAATACCAAAGAGAATGTGACCAGCCATGGTTCTGATCACTTTGGTGCTGTTTTACAGGAAGGCTTGAATGGTGAACAGAGCAGACATGTCACTTAAATTAACTGTCCGAAAGTAAAGTGTTCATTCAAAGGTGTTAGTCTAGGCTCCCATGATGGCCACTGCAGAGAGGCAGGTACTTCTTAAGCATATTTCATTCTGCTTGGATACTTGTTTTAGAGAGAGCCTGGACAACTTAGCCTAAATGCTTACCATTAAGAGATTCCTGCTTATGGCAATGTTTGCAAATAATCCCTGATAGTATTTCCATACTTTGGCTCAGGTCTGCCTGTTTGCATTTGTGTAGTGAGAAAATTGCTGATAGCTTTTCTGATTGACTCCCAAGCTGATCTTTAAGAGTCCTGTTTCTAATACACCACTTCAGGTAAACATTGTCTCTTCTGATTACAAAATTCCTGCTCCACCTGAGGCCAGCTCCTCCCGCTCTCTCAAATAGTGACTGGATCACCCTACACATGTAATGCAGTGGAAGGAGTTCCACCCAGGTGATGCCTTTTCTAGGGAAGTTAGAGTTCTGCATTACTAAGCTACCAGACACTACTGTCCTTGTGCCATTACAGCTGCAAAAATCAAGTTGTTGTTTTTTCTTTTTCACAAGGCATTTTAAACATTGGTAGGTCAATCCTGAATGAAGAAGGTATGAGAATATTTCCCAACTCTAAAAGTATCCATTTCACTCTGCTGACCACTGAAATGTTTTCTTTTTCTCACCCAAACTATGCAACAGTTTTGCAATATTGACCAACCTACAAGTAAACATGCTGTAATAACAGTCAAATGCAAAAATCCCCTATGTGATTGCCTATAGACTTGGCTAATCTGTAGAGCCTCTATTCTTTTGTTGAAGGAAATTCCCTTCTTGCTTATTGTGGGTGCAGTCCAATCATCCCATTTTGAGACAACCCACAGTTACTTGGTTTTCATCTCATAGGTACATTCTTACTATTATCACTGAGTATCAATGTCCCAGTTCTTCTGAGATATTAGCATATATCAGAGTATCACTGAGGTATAGCAAAAGCACTCATAGATGCTTTGTAGTAATCTCTTCAAAATACTTTCAGTTGTGTCTAGTGCATTGCACAAACATGAAACTAACATGTAAAGTTACCACATAAATTAAAGCAGTTTTCCTGCACTTGTTTAGGGACTGATTTTCACTTGGCACACCCACGCTGGGTCTGGTGCGGGAAACCAGACTGATGCTGCTGCAGTATTTTGGATGTCTTTATTTGCAGTAGTGGATACATTTCCTTGATAGCAAGTTATAGTTGAGTGGCATGCTTGAATTGCCACATCCTAATGAGTAGCTGTGTATTCACTAAGCCATAGTAACAGCCACAGCAGATCTAGTCCAGTGCTCTGCAGGCTGTGTTCCCAACCCATCTCTTTTCTGGAATTCTGATAAACCACTTCAGAGACACAAATGGGAAGAGAAACAATGACTACTTTTGGACAGTTAGTTTACTGCTGATTTCACTCTCTGAACTACAAAGTCAGGCATATGTGAGCCAGCAGAAGAGAAGCAGCCCAGCTACAGGGGAGTGGAAACAGTGCTGCTCCTGTTAGTTCCTTAGATAGCAAATTGACTGAGCTGTAATGTAGCACTGCAACCTGATCATGTACCTGTGCTTAGCAAACAGAAGAAAATGTATTTGCTTCAATTTACTGTGAAAAGTTGCAATAAGCAAATTCCCCTTGCTCATATCCTGTAACAGCTGGCCTTAAAAAATGGTGACTTTATCTTATATCCCCTGTAAGTTCTTTATTGTACATGGAAATGTCTCTCCTGGATTAAGAAAACATTTTCTCTCTCTTATCCAGAAAGCCCTTTAGTGCAAAAATGTAATGCTGCTGTGTTTAGTGCGGTACTGGAACAAGTCCAGTAGCAACCGTGGGAGCTACTACTCCCATCCCTCTTCTGGTTTTCTACTGCTCCAAGCTATTGTCAGTATCACTGGCTCACATTTTGCAGGAACAGGCCCTTTTATGTGCCACTAAGTGCCACTTTTTAAAAACTTTAACTAAATGTGCAAGGGTCCGTTCCTGTGTTGGATTCACAAGAACTCTAGAAATGATGTTTTCTAGGAACCAGCAGTGTCAAGACTTATATTGGACTAAATGACTCATTAATATATAGCTCATACAATAAAACCAGGACAGCTTATCTACTGAAAAGCAGATGGTAATTTCTCTAGACTGCATCTTTCAACAGGTGGAATTTGTAAGATATATTTCCTGCCATTGACTATATTCTGAATAATGAAACCAAAACCATCTTCTTTGAAAGTTGTGTAAGTTCCTATCTAAATTCTAAAGGTCCAGTTTTCAAAATCAGCTTGAAATGGGATCATGTTCCACATTGCTGTCTCCATGTGAGTGCTGTAAGGTTTAGGACCTTTTCATACCATAGCCAATATAATAAAAAAACTCTTGCCTTTGAGCCAATAGCCACTATTCTCATATATTTCACAGCTTCTAGTACATGCTTAGTGGCTGACCACCCACTGCAGAGGTTTCCAAGCTTTGCTCTCATAGCTTATACACATTCTGAAGCTGGGTTTGTGATTGGCCAGCAGTTTTTGCATCAGAGGTTCTCTGATGGGATGTGTCTGGCAGAAGAAAGGATGAAAGGCAAAAAAAGGCCCAGAGATAGGATGACTAGATAAAAGATGGGGAGAACGTACTTTGAGTCATCTATGGGCACAGGTAGGGAGAAGCACTCAGCATTTATATGAAGCCTGCAGAAGGAAGCCCATAAAGGGTGAAGGATGAAGTGGACATGCAGAAGTGGAGGCAGGGATGACTGGAGGTAGGGCAGGGGAGATGGACTGGAGGGGACAAAGAGTGTGAGGCAGGAGAGGGAAGGGGGTGGTGGAGCGAACAAGCCCAGGCGTGATTCCCATTGCTAGCTCAGATCTACTCCTCACTCAGAACCTCTAGGTAAAATGGGAACACGAGTGGAGAGTAATCAGGCATGTACTGCTCTGCATCCAGTGCATACATTTGCCTTGCCTGCCTGCTTCTCACCTTCATCCCTGTCCTATTGTCCTGGTTTGGCTAAAAC